GACAGGCGGTCGTCAACATGAATACAAGACGCCGCTTGTCTTTTACATTTTTAATGAAAACAAAACACTCGTGCAGCCCCCACAGTAAGCATTCTTCACGGAACTCAATCAACGCTTTGTGTAGTGTAGGGCCGCCCCCCGGCCTGCCCTGGCGACAGATAGTATCGAGTTACAGCGATCGCGGACGCCGCCTGAGGCTGAACTCCTGCGGTGTTAATTAACGTCTTAAGAGCCCCCCGGGACCCGCCCGGGACTTCACTCACGCCGATAGGGCTGTTTGACATGAACAGAATCGAGAAGGTGTTTTAGACAATTGTTTTTTTTCTATCATTATTTTCCTTCTTGATTTTGCCCGCAACTTCGTTTGCGTGGTGTTAGTATTTACATTCATTTATTAATAATCAATTTCAAACAATAAGAATAGGTTTTCAATTTGATTGTTTTCTTATATTTATACTAGCTTTTGCCCGCGACTCGTCCGCGTGGCAAAGTTACTTTGAGCAGCATTTCTAACGAATATTTATTAATTATATCGTGCAAAATACCTGAGATAAAGTTTCATCCCCTATTTTATCCCCTTAGGGGTGGAATTTATCAAAATCCTTTCTAAGACGATGCCTACGTCATAGTAGTTTGACGCATGCAAAGTCTCAGCCCGATCGGTTTAAAATTGTCAAAGTTTCATACGATCTTTCATCTCCTATTTTATCCCCTTGGGGGTAGAATTGATCAAAATCCTTTCTTAGCGGATGCCGTCCTCATAACATCTACCTACATGCCAAATTTCAGCCCGATCCGTACAGTGATTTGGGCTGTGCGTTGATAGATCACTATGTCAGTCATTCACCTTTGAGTTATATATATTTAGATTGCACTTTTGAAAGAGTATATCTTCAAAATTATGCCATTAAAACTTATAAGACGAAATTAGATCAGTAGTATTGTGTTAAAAAAAAACTGCGAGAACTACATCGCCTCGATCTTGCTATGGGGGTCACATAGGAACTCCAAAATAACAATGTTTATTTTCATGAATAAACAGGCTTGATTCATAAAATAATCCTTATTATAACAAATTCAAGCTTTGTTGAGGAAGTATACAAAAGATATGAATAGTAGCATACTGCATCCTGCATGCAGACAGTTTAAATTTTTACAGATAATTTATTTCTTATGATGATTGCTCTAAATGACTTGACTTAAAATTGTTAATGAACAAAAGCGCAGACTGTATAAACAATTGTTCGGCAGACATTTTATTTTATTTCTGATCGCTTCTTGAGATAATGTCTGATAATGTTCCATTTGATTCTTTAAAAAGTAATGAATTTGCTTCAGAGTAGAGACTCAATATACTTATACGACTCCTAGATATCCCCAATCAAATGGAATGGCAGAAAAGGCTGTCCAAATTACTAGAAGAATTTTAAAAAAGTGTTATGATGAATAGACTAATTTTAGAGTTGCATTACTACATTATAGAGATTCGCCTGTTTGTAGAACAAATTTTTCACCGGTACAGTTAATAATGAAGAAATCTTAATACAAAACTATATGTTTCCTTTACATACTTAAAACCCAAATTAAAAGAGAATGTAAATTTGGAATTCAATAAGTGTAAACAACGAAATATCAGATATTATAATTCAAGAACTAGATTGAAAAATGATTTGTGTTGGACCAAAGATTATGTTACCTGGCGCTATAATAAAGAAAAATAAATCTAGATCATATATTTAACTCTTTATGAGTGTAGCGAAGTCTCCTGGTACAGGCATCAGTATGCTTAAAAGGAGGCTTCAACAACTAATATGTAACTGTGTCATTTTGTATCCAATAAAGATTTTTTTTTTTTTTATACTATTGTTTGTAATAATTGTTTAAAGTACACCAGAACATGTTACCATATAAGATCTGCAACGATTGTATTCGTTCGAGGATAGACAACACTAACAAAATCTTATATGGTAAGGGCTTCTGGCAAAACTAACTCCACGAATATGCAGTAGTAATTTAAGGTATATATTAGTATAAGTTAAGTTTCAATTGTTTAAGATTTCTAAAATGATAACCGTTTTATTTTAAAAAAGACGGAAACAAAAATAAATGCTTAAGTAGTCTTTATTAAATAAACTTATACGAAGTTTTTTTACTTTTGTAACAAAATTAGAAGGCATTCGTCTATCTCTTACCGTTTAGGCAGCCGTTCACTAAAATAGGCGCCCTTGGAGGTACTTCTATAAAATTATCCTATATGTTAATACAGACAAAGAATTGCCTGTCATTTCATCAAAATCCATACAGTAGTTTTTGCGTGAAGAAGTAACAAACATCCAAACTTACAAACTTTCGCCTTTATAATATCATAGTAGGATTTGACATAATTCATGTTTCTCTTAGGAGGCCGTCCGAACCAAATGACGTATGTCAAAGCGATAACCAAATTAACCCATTATCAATCCAAATGTTTTATAGTTTAAAATAAGAAAATTACATTGTTCGGTCTAAAGGGTGAAAATCTTAGTAAGTTTCTTGATAAAAAAATCACTCTAAATTCCAATTACATTTAATTTGTACGGGCTATAAACTATCTTCATAGAGACGCGGTGTAACCGTATTGTGTATTTTTTGAAAACAGTACAATCATTTGAATGATTTGCAAGCGATCAAATAAGCTGTCGCTCTATTTCTGTAACGATCCGTTATCTGCCACTATTTATCTCGACTCGTGTGGTTGATTAGATTTCATTAACTCTTTACCTTATGCACATTCTTAACTAATTGCGAAGGACTTCGAATACGAATTCGAATACGAAGGAAAAGTCAAACTTTCTAATCCTATTATATATCAAGCGTTCGATTTGCTGTTGACGTTTAAAAAAGTAATAAATTTATTTAGTTGACGGAGAACAAAAGTTGCGCTCCTGCCGGGTGCACTACAAACGTTTAATAAATATGTATATAAATATAAACCTAAAAAGGGACCCTCATGAATAAAGAACGTCGCGAAAATCGATATTCATTTCAGGGCCTTAAATATTTAAAACAAACAGAGCAACAAACGTAACACCCGCTGTCCGTCAATTATCACACACGTTAATGCCGTTCTAAAAATACCTAAAAATGTTTTTAAAATGCGCATTCCGCACAATTCTGCTAATGTCAAGTGATTGGGTTGTTTAAAGTCGAAGTTATTTTATTGCAATAGAAGTAATCAGAGATTTAAATTTATAACTATTGAGAGAATGTTCAATTAAATGTTAAAGCGTCAATGCCATATACACTAATGTGTTTCGTCTATGGAATAGGCGAAGCAATTGCTTTCACAAGGAATTGTGAAAGCAATTCCGTGGACACGGTACGTGGACACTGGACACCGGGCACCGGGCACCGTGCACCGGACACCGGACACCGGACACCGGACACCGGACACCGGACACCGGAAACAGGACACCGGACGCCGGACGCCGGACACTGGACACCAGACACTGGACACGGGTCGGCATGGAGCCTGCGAACCTTATTGTTTAACACGACAACATAGCCAACCCTCCTCGAACACACCACATGAATATTGATACTACCTCTATATATTATTATAAACAAATTATTCTCTGATAGAAGGATATATAGCGTTGACATTCATGTGCTGATTAATTTTGCCAGAATATAAAATAAGAAATAAAATAACTGAAAAATAAATCCATAAAAATTTTATAAAAATGAGACCCAAAAAATCAAAATTTCTATAATTCTCGTTGCAATCGGGGAACCGCTCTATGTGACGTTAATAAATAATTTGCTATCGGAATTTTGTTTAGCCAAGCTTATTTTTAATATTATAAATATGGTTTTAGAATGTTTATTTTCATACTTTTAAATTTCTAATTATAAAAAATCAATCACAAAATAATCTTGATAAAAGGGGCTGTCGATAAACAAAAACTTCAATCATATCAACCTATTTGTTTACAAACTAAGATGCTGCAAGTACTTACACGTACAACGTACAAGAATTAACTTTGAAGAACAAACGGAAATATATGAGAGCAATGAATTTATTTAATAAGCCGGTTCTTTTAAAAACCGTCATCAGACCCTCATGTTTATTTATATCTGTATCCACAGGGGACCCGCGTGAAGAATATAATTGAAAATGCCACCGGGTGAATAGCGGCGGCTGTCAAGGACCTGAAAGGTGGGGGGGGGTTGTGACCGCAAGTGAATGAAGTGTGTTACTGTTGCGGTTCCACCGAGATTAGTACTTTGTTTAACTGAAATCTTGAAATATTTGCCAGAATATGGTACAAAAGAGATATTAAACTGTATGTAATCCACAAATTAACATCGACGTTATTGTACAGGGTCGTGTCATGTGTACATTTCAAGCATATATGACATTGAAAAGGGCTTTAGACCTTTTCAAGGAGAATCAGGTATTACATTTCCAGTTCCTGATTATTCTCCCAAAAAGATTTAGTCACTCAATTATTTTTAATAATAAAGAACCGCGCACTGTCTCAAGTAAAACGTACAAATTGAATTAATACCAACAATGGAATCTTGATGTTTGAATGAAATAATAATACCGTCAAAACTTGTTTAAAAGTTGCATACAAAGTTATCTCCATCTCAATCGCTTGTAGCGTTTCGTAATCAACAAGGAAGTATTACATTAGTCTAACCCTTAAATTTCTAACACTCCATAGAAAACAACAAACGTGTTTTTTTGTATTTTTATGGATAATGGTACGAAACCCTTCGTCTGTGCCGTCTCGCGCTTGCCCTTTTTGTACAGGTACTTATGTGATTGAGATTCTTATCTAAACTCCCTCAATCGATCGTCAAAAACATTTATTGTCTTTTCAATTGACAATAATATAAACAAGCAGCGCCTCAGACGCGCCTCCTACACAGCGCTCGCAGTCGAAGTGAACGACATGCAAATGAATGAATATTATATTCGTAATAAATTCAAATGAAGCGACGACGATTTAAATTCAATTTTTGAGAGTATCTTGTTGACGAGCCCCGCCTGGCTTCACTCGACAGGCGATAGACGCACTTGTCACTGCTTTCTGAATATGAATTGTACTTATTTTATGGAATTTTTAAAGTACTTAAAAATACATCACGTAAGTATCAATATCGACACTTCTTAATATCCACAATGTTAGGACACAGAATGGAATCGATCAAAAACCATTCGTCCCGGTGTGGGCTGGGTGATTTCAGTGAGTTTCATTGCTACTCAAACCACGGAGGGGCTAGAGATTAAAAATATTTGATCACCCATCACATGACCGGCCTTTGCGAGAATTGCTTTCTATCCGCATCGCGAACCGAAGGCGATGATCATTGCTCCATTGACCTCACCTCATGATCAGATTCTTATCAACTTTTAATTAAAACAACACAATTAACAAAAATAATATGTTCATTACAAGCGATGCACAAACTTAAACATTACCACTACAAAACACTAAGTAAATGGCTTATCATTATTACAAAGTAAAACTATTTTATGAAGGTATACATTTAAAGGGATAATTATCTTTTAATACATATGCTGAAACAATAAAAATTTCTTTACTGATACTTAGATGTTTTTCTATTTTGTTTGTCTTAACACAGCGTAGAATGTGTACGAGGACTTCAAAATCTGAAATTGATCCAAAACAGTATTTATAATTTTCATTCCGCCGATTTAAATAATCTGCTGTATTGTATACTTTAATTAATACACACACAAATAACCTAATTCAATGTTATTTTAAACAAAATTAGCTTTTATTATATTGTATTCTTTGTTATAAATACGTGGACTAACTAATATAAAAAGAAAACACTATGGTATTTTTTCATTATGATTTCGGAATTATGAAAGAAGATAAATATGAAATACAAATATTCAGAACTCGAAAACAATTAATTCGCCAGTGATAAATATTTTTATTATTCAAATAAATCAATTGATGAATCCATTCTATCTATGGTTCTATCCATTGTTAATATGAAGTTAACTTCGAATCAAATCGTTAGTTTTTCAGTTCAGTTTCAGTTCTCCGCCATCGAGACGTTAGTTTCACTTTGTTTATAAAATTCTGATGGTCTACGTCTGTAAGTTTGATAATTCTGAGGTATTTTAAATGTAATAATGACAAAATAAGTTATCAGTGCAATTTTACTAATGTTTAATTATAATATTGTTACAGAGTGCAGCGGCACGGTTCGTATGCACATTACCAAATGGCATTATGCGCCCATGAATGGCGCTAACACTGTCGACAGTGGTACTACGTGGATAATATAGATATACATCGGGTCTGCGAGGAAAGGACGGTCACTGGGGAAGAAAGGGACGGGTAGCAGTTCTAGAAGTTTTTGTTAATACCTCGAATAGACCTGTGGGGCCGAGGCCAACCTGGAGTGTTCTAAGTCGTTACCTAGAACATTCTGGATGTGGATATAAATATGCGGTGAGCTACCCCTCCCGTCATTTTTTCAGTGATACGGACGATCTAATAGTGCTGTGAAGTGTGAATGATGTAGTTGGAATGTTTTTAACTCGAAATTATATCTTAACATAACTGTAATCAAAGTTCACATGACATTTTTCATCAGTAATTTTATTTTAATATCACAATCATTGTGCGTAAAAATGACTGTTCCTTAGTTAGTTATAATAAGATTAATATTTTCCGTGTATTTAAACGTATTCACCGTCCTTTGTTTAGCCATAGTACTACATACAGAACGTCGTATTCAGCTTGAATAGCTATATTAACCAGTTGACTGTGACATATGTATTATATTGATATTTCCTCAATTAACTACTCACTCGAATAACAAAAATAACAATACAATACCGTTACATAAGTGTTGAGGGATAACGGTATGATGTGCCCGGCGACTGGCAGCAGCGGCCGCTTGGCGCGCTCCATAGTCAGCACAATGCACCGCTTGAACGAGAGCGGCGCGTGCAACCAATCCATGCTGTAGATTGACTCTATCACTCGATTGCTCTATCAACATAATGACATTTTCATATTACAACCATCTTTGTCCATAATTATAGTTATAAGTATAAATATTTTTAACTTTTTTCAATAGACTGAATCGTTTTTAAGACTTTGTAAAAACTAACGTGCGATTCACTTATGTCTGCTTATAATAAAGCACATATTAATTTATTTAATTGATTCGCATAAAGAATAAGTATCTTTTCTAGAGTTATACTTACTTCAACTGTGACCTCGTTACCATAATAACAGTACAAGAACATTTCCGTCAGGATACATGTTATAAACAGAGTCATTGATGCAAATTCTATACTCAATATATTAAACTGAAATCAAAATATCAGTTGGCACGAGATCATAAGTTAAACAAAACCAGCTAACTGTACCATGCCAGTAATTTATTTATAATTCAGGAATAACGTAATGATAAAAGTAAACGTTTATCTACTCTTACCATTACATTAACCTGATGAATGCTTTCCTAGTTTGTTCCACTCATATTGACAATAGTTCAATCACGAATCGAAAAAAAAAATACCTTTTTTATAAATAAAGAAAAAGATAAATATGTGACAATATCACATACATTGCTCAAATTCCATGATGAGTAGCTAATGCCCCATGTTATGGAGTATCTGAGACAAGATACCACGACACCGAGACCCTAAACAATATAGAAAAGTCAAGCCATTTTCTATATTTACCCGACCTGGGAATCGAACCCGGAACCTCAGAGATTAAAATACCTTGAAACGGGCGGCGTGCGAACCACTCGGCTACGATGTAGACAAAAACGTTTCTCGAGTACTCCACGCGTACACAGCTATAGATTAAAATTCAAATATACCCACAATAAAAAGTAGCATTTATTTTTTTCTCATTCATTGTCATAGGTATATCACCAATGTTTTGTTTGTATAAATGGATAAGTAAAACCGATTCGCCCATTCTTTATTGGAAGTAATTGACAAATGGAATTTATTTTATTCGCTTTCAGATCAACATGGATGAAAATATAAGTATTACGTTGCTTAGGATTGAGTAGCTTCTAAACAATCTTTGACAGGTTGGCATTTATTAATTTTATATCATTCATTATTTAACGTAAGTTATTACTTACGCTAACTAGTTTATAAGCAGCCATACATAAAATCCAGCCTCCGATACCAAATTGAATGAAAATTGCTACACCGAATATATTTTGTAGTTGTGTAACGCTCCTGGAAAACATATACGTTTTTAAATCATAAACTCAAATCCCCTAGCGCGTTCTCTGAATACTGAGTACTTACTCTGATATACGTTTATAATGATCCAAACAGTCCAAAAACAACTTCATCAAAACATTTTCATACAACTCTTCGTGATTGGTGTTTACTATTACTTTTGCTCTCTCCGGAAGATTTTCAAAATTTAATCTAAAATAATATCAATTGTCCAAAATTTTATGATATCATGTATAAAGTAATTAATTTTGACTATTATTTATTTACCTTAATATTCTTAATTGTGTTTTACACTGGTATAGAACAGTGGCCATAAATGCATCCATAGTTGTATTCGCTACGCCGACTAGAGTAGTCACGTAGAAAGAATACATTAAGATTATAACAAACCTGGAAATTATGATATAAATCCTATATAAAGTAGTATGTAATTTGAAATGAAATATGTTCTGATAATCGAGTCACTGGTCACTATATAAACAAATTGCCTCGAGGTCGCCAATTAATTTTTATATTTAGACCTCGTAAGCGTATACTTGGATTCAAACAATGTGATACGCAAAAATGTATTATTATACGTACATATATGCACGCGAGTGGTCGATGTTAATCCAAAACGAGAATTCGACGGGATACCCACGGACGTAATAGATAATAGGGAATATGATCCACATGACACAGGTGACTATGGCAGTGGAGGAGTAGACGCGGACGAGGCGGGCGGCGCTGCGAGCCGTGCCCTCCAGCAGGACTCGCGCCGCCGGCTCCCTGCAGTTGTACGCCTGCTCTGGCTCATACACATTTAACATTAATTTATCCACTTCATATTGCACACTTGTACTTAGAGATAGAAATATCAATTGAATTACAAACAAATCATAATTAGTAACTGAAAAATAACAACTGAGAAATTGAAAAGCAATAAAAAATTTATATTGAAAAGGCTGCACTCTGACATGATTAGTATAAAGTGGAACGTACCATCAAAATCTGTGATCATACAATCGATGCGGTCGGCGTCAGTATAAAATACGTACTGTTTAGTGATCGAGGTGATGTGACATAGCAGAAGAAACATCACCTTTGCCAGCTTGTCCATGTCGTTCCGTACCTGAGCATTTTATTCATTTTTTTTTATGACCAACTAGTAACATTATTGAGTTATATTCTATAATGCGATATTCGCTTGCTTATATACCTGATAAGCGTAGACGAACTCCTGTACAAGATATATAGATGTAAAAATAAGTGCGCAAGTGCAGTAGATGGCATGCACACGTCTCATGAGCCGGTCGAGGAGGCGCGGGGGCGGGCCGTTGTGAATGTCAAAGTGTGGCCGTAAACGGCAGAACCCGCACACACGAAGAATGTGCAAGTGCGGGACTACACTGCGGCCTGCCGACGACCTGACACCACCACACCACTAGTTATCAATAATGACTATGAGATGATGAGTGGTAATTCGTTTGATTTTTTGCGTTGCCTTTTTTATTAGGTTGGGGAAAAAGTATTTTCGCATATAGTATGCATAAACTTGCAATAAAACCTTCGGCATGAATGGGCCGGCTCGACCGGAGTGATACCACGGCCTCACAGAAAACCGACATGAAGCAACGCTTGCGTTGTGTTTCGTCGTGTGAGTGAGTCAAAGTCAAAGTCAAAATAATTTTTATTCAAATAGACTTCTTAAAAGTACTTTTGAATCGTCCAACATTTTTTCCCTACCACTCGTTCAGGACGTCTTTTGGCTGATAAGAAGAACGAGCAAGAAACTGACCAGCTCTAATAAGAGTAATGACATTTACAAAAACCATGTCATTACCAGATCAATACATTATAAACAGAGATAGAAAAAAAAACTATGGACTTATAATGATAACATAATCATTTAATAATAATGGAAACAAGATAATGAGTTTAGAAGTAATCACCTATCCAGTTGCTGGATCATCTCAAGTCCAAGCGTTCTTATCTGTTATATAATCGGATACCTTATAATAAGCTCTTTTAATAAGTATTTCTTTAATAGTAGATTTAAACTGCATGATATCTAATTGTTGTATTTTGCTTGGGACCTTATTGTAGAAGCGCACGCAAAGACCCTTGAATGAGTTATTAACTTTTTGCAGTCTAGTGACAGGTACCGTTAATTTAGTTTTATTTCTTGTATTAAAATTGTGTACATCACTTTTTATAGAAAACAAACTAATATTTTTACTAACGTACATTAAGTTCTCGTATATGTATTGACAAGCAACAGTCATAATGTCTATTTCCTTTAATTTCTCCCTTAAAAAGTCCCTAATCCTAAGATTATAAATTGATCTAATTGCTATTTTCTGAAGCACAAAAATTGTTTGTATGTCGGCAGCATTTCCTCACAATAGGATACCGTAAGACATAACACTATGAAAGTAACTGAAGTATACTAATCTGGCAGTATCTATGTCAGTTAACCTACGTATCTTCATTACGGCATATGCTGCAGAGCTAAGTCTACTCGACAATCTATCAATATGTGGACCCCACTGTAGTTTAGAATCTAATGTTATTCCTAAAAATACTGTGGTATCCACAAGGCCCATGTTCTTATCTTTTATATTAACATTTATATCTACTTTTTTAACATTAGGTAGTACAAATTTTAAGCATTTTGTTTTTCCTTCATTAAGGAGAAGATTATTTACATTAAACTACTTTAGCGATAGAATTGTTCACATTGTCATTTAGAGGTAACCCTCTTTTAATTTTAAACAAAAGTGAAGTGTCAACCGCAAACAAAACTATTTCGTGATATTCCCTTACGAAATAAGGCAAGTCATTTATGTAAATAAAAAACAAGAAAGGACCAAGTATTGAGCCTTGCGGAACGCCCATCTTAATTTTCGATCCAGGGGATCTTTTGCCATTGATATTAACCCTCTGTACTCTGTCATTCAAGTATGAGACAATAAAATCCAATGAGTTATCTCTAAAACCGTACCGGGTACGGGGTACCGGAGGGTACCGGAGGGTACCGGAGGGTACCGGAGGGTACCGGAGGCCCAACCCCTCCCTATTCCCTTCCCTCTACCCCTCAACCCTTCCCTCCCTATGATCAGATTCGTCCCTCAAAGGCCGGCAGCGCGCTTGTAGCCTCTCTGGTGTTGCAGGTGTCCATGGGTGACGGTTATCACTTACCATCAGGTAATCGCTCGTCTGCTCGTCTGCCCCCTATCTCATAAAAAAAACCATTTCTATCTGACTGGTTTAGGTATAATTAAAAAGTTGAAATTTTAAAAAATACAACTCTGAATTCAAATAAGGAAAAATGTGTGTGTTTCATTTGTTTTTCTTACTGTCAAAATAAGTGAACCTAATGAACAAATTAGATTTGTGACGTTTATGGACCTAGTGCATTTTCTGTGAGGGTAGCACAAATTTTGTTTAAGCGGTTTTTAGTCCAGAAATTTTGATGTCAAAGATGCACGTCATTCCGGTCGCCCCGTTACGGCTAAATATAGATGCAATTTTTGAAAAAGTAGAGCAAGATCGGCAAATCAGTAGTTACGAACTAGCTGAAGAACCTGGTTTTGGTGCATTGAAAAATCTGGATATTTGGGCACCTCACGAGCTTACTGAAAAAGACCTAATGAACCTTATACTTATTTGTGCTCTTTATTACGGCGTAATGAAACCGAACCATTTTGAATGATGTACAAAAAAGGTCGTGGTCAAAGGTCAGTCAGGATTCATAGACTGTGGGAAACCCGGTGTAACTCGCAACAAGGTGATGTATGATGGGATTGAAAGGGCATTATTCATTATGAACTGTTACCGCCAGGCAGGACCATCGATTCTAAACTCTACTGCGTACAACTGATGAGATTAAAGCAAGAAGTTGAGAGAAAGCGAACAGAATTATTAATAGAAGGGGTATGGTTTTTCATCATGATAACGCTAAACCTCACACATCTTTTACTACTGAGCAAAAATTAAGATAGTTTGGCAGGGAGGTGTATACATTAACAACCTCACCATCGTATAGTTCTGAACTTGTGCCCTCAGATTTCCTCCTGTTTCGATCTCTTCAGAGGCAGTGTCAGGTTAACATAACGCGAGTACTACCAAAACCACTTGTCGCAATTTTTTAATCAGAAGCCCCAAAATTTCTGCATTAATAGGATCATGTCGTCATGTAGGTAGCTACATGATGGCAAAAAGTTATCGAACAAATTTACTATAAACCTACATACTGTTGTTGGTGACCCGCTACGTAAACCTTTTTGGCATGTTTATTTTCTAAATTCTCAGTTTTTAAATAAATGTCATTCATACTTTTAGACTTACGAAACAAATGTAAAACTTCAGTGTGAGAATAACAATATTCGGCTGTGACAGTGTTTTCGTGGTTTCCTTTAAAATTACCTGGTAGCCAGATCTCTATCTTTTTCATTGGTGTCAGAAGTGGGATAAATTAATAACGATCATGCCCATGGGTACTAGGTCTCGTATTTGCCAAAACCAGGAAACCCGTAAGTCTACTTCCTATAGTACAGTGCGTGAAGTGTCTAACGAAGCCGCCTCTAATCGTGGTAGCGCCTCTATTTCCGGCGCCCTAGCGCCAGCGTTACCCAGCGTGCTCCACACCGCGCCACAAGATGACTTACTTACCACTGCGTCACAATGCGCCCCAGCGCCGCCGCCAACCAATTCTCCTCGATCGTGTACGAAATCTACAGCAAAAACTATAAAAGCACAGCAGCTGGCTGCCAAATTGAAACATGCTCGACGACAAGCCGCAATAGAAAAGGAATTGGCAGACTTGGAACTGGAAACCGAGCTTGCTGCCATTACCTCTTCTTCTTCGAGCCATTCACGTTCGGATTATGTGGAACAATGGTTAGTCGCATCGCATGACAATCCCGTAGATAGAGCTTATAATAACCGTTCTATTATTTTCGATAGAGAGAAATGTGTGGATTCACTATGTAGCGCTCCACTAGAACAACCCCCAGCGTCACGTTTAGCAGAGGATAGAGATGCCCTAGTATCTGCAGCACGAGGCTGTACTATACCACGTCTGTCCCCGCTTACCTACAACGATGGCCCTCGGGTACGAGCCGCCGACACATTCACAACTACACATGCTCAAAATATAGGTACACACAACAGTAGTAATGATTGTAATTTGTACAAAAATAAAATGAACAATAAAACTGTAGTTACACATGACAACATTACTTTACTGGCAAACGCTATACTGGATCTAAGAAGGAAGCCGAAGGTCAGTGATCTCCCTAGGTTTGATGGTCGTGCTTCTGACTGGCTCTCGTTCAAAAGGACGTTTGAGCAGTCCGAAGCAAACTTCACGCCGATGGACAATATCGCCAGAATCTCCACTGCGCTTCATGGGTCTGCTAGAGAGGCAGTATCCATGCTTCTCGTCTCTGCTAATGACCCGCGGCAGATAATCAAAGCCCTGGAGAACAGGTTTGCTCAACCGGAGTTTATTATACTTCAGCAACTCTCGCAGGTGCGAAACCTTCCTAGACTTGGCACCTTCGAATCTTCGCGCGACCTCAATATCTTCGCATGCCGCATTAGAAACTGTGTTGAAGTAATTAGACTCCTCAATCAACCTGAGTACCTTGCAGCGCCTGAATTTGTCAACACTATCGTTGGTAAGTTGACTCCGTTGTTGCGTTCGAGATGGGTCGACTTTGCCGCGAATAAATGCACTTCAGGCAAATTCAAATTAGAAATTTTAGCAGACTTTTTGGATAATGAAGCATATTTACATGTTAAATTTGGATTTATTTCTACAGAGTCGACTCAAATTGTCAATCGGTCTGTCATCAAACCATCCGTCAAAGACAAAGTCTACGCAATCCCATCCGTCAAAACGTCAAGTAAACCTAAGATCACCTGTACTCTATGTCAATATTGTCAAGAAAAACATGACATTATGGATTGCAAAGAGTTTGTTTTACTTGACATTGACAATCGTTGGCAGTGGACCATAAACAATAAGGTATGTCGCAGATGTCTGAAAAAAGGATCTCACCAGTATCGATCGTGTAAAAAGAGGTGCGAGGTAAAAGATTGCAAGTATAATCACAAACATCATACATTACTGCATCGAGATGCTATCTCGTCGACAGCTGCTCATACTAATATACAGCTAACCCCTTCAACGTCTACTGATATCAAGGTACAGACAATCGACAATATTCCTCGCGATACTCTTGATCAAACTTGCGATTCTAATGTTTCAAAAGACGAGAATATAATTGCCACTGTAGGTCATAGCCTTTGCCCTTCTAGTTTATCAACTTGTAAGCCTCTGCTTAAAGTGATAGCGGTTACTATCACAGGACCGAAGGGTAGTATAGACGCATACGCTCTTCTCGATGATGGCAGTTCTGCGACTCTTTTAGATCA